TCAACCCCTTTAATTCTAAAGTCCTGTGCTACTGGCAGCTTACGCCATACACATCACAGGGCCTCATACCATCATCACCGTTGATGCCATCAGATAACATCTCATAGCTGCCATGCCCTCAGGTCACCAACTGCAGGCAGAGATGCACAGGGGGAGGCACCCTGCTGCTGGAGCCAGCTTGCCCCGCCCTGCCGTTAGCTGTACCACTGTCACGAGCCTTGCACCTCCGTCTGCCTCAGTTTCCTCAGCTGTCCATATGGAGACGGCTAAGACCCACTCCTGAGCCTGGGGTGAGGATGGAGGGAGGAGGCTACTTGAAATGTCAGGAGCCTGTGCAGAACCAGAGAAACGTGGTGAGGGCCTGAGAAGCCTGGGTGGGTTGGCAGGGAAAACAGCAGGAAGTGGGACCAGAGCAGTCGGAGACCAAAGGGCCCTGTCCCGAGCTTCTTGTGGCGGGCTGTCCAAATGATGCCTGCTCCGAGAGACTGAGTGGGATGGTAGATCTTTCTCCGCTGTTCATCTTGATGGAAACGGGTTTTCAGGCTTTTCTGCTTGGGTCCAAACAGCCTTTCCTTGAGCAGTATTTAGCCATTGCTCCCCAACACACGCACGCACGCACGCACGCACGCACGCACGCGCCACAACAAGCCCACTGCTACCTGCTTGATTCTGACCTATCTTTTTTATCTTTCTCACTGCCATCCAGCTGATGACCAACTCCTAGTGAACCCTTTGGGGCAGGGGTAGATCTGCCCTGTGGGTTTCCGAGACTGGAGCTGTTTATGGGAGTAGAAAGCCATGTCCTTCTCCCAGGGAGTGGCTGGTGCATTCAAACTGCTGACCTGTGGTTAGCAGCCCAACACATAACCCATTACGCCACCATGGACCCTGTCTAATGTTTCTGAGACTGTCCATCGTAATGAGAGCAGACGGCCTCATCTTTCTCCCGCAGAACAGCTGAGACCTTGGGAAACGGGGCTCTGCACTGCACCTGGGGACAGTGTACCTACCGCAGGTGCAGACAGCCCAGAAGGCGTCGGCTCTGTGGCACAGGTTCCCGGCAGTGCACTGAGTGCGTGGCCCTCCGCCTCTTTTCCAGGTTCCTGAGCGTCACCTTGGTCTTCCCCTCCCAGAGCCAGCGGTTCCTGCGGGTTGGCCTGGCGGTACCCATCCTCAGCACAGTGGCTGCCCTGAGGAAGATGGTTGCAGAGGAAGGCAACATCCCAGCGGATGAGGTTTGTGTGTGTGTGGGTG